AAAGGTTGCGTTGGAGGTCATTAGGCCTGGTTTTTTTGTGATATAAACTGGAGTTCTAGCGATGCTGGGTCTCAATCGCAGTGGCTTCAATATCACGGGCTGTTTCGTTCATTTAGCTGAATGGCATCCACTGGAATAGCAAAAGCTGATTAGGGGTTGGGCCCTCTCTCTCTCTCTCGCTCTCCCTTCTCTGACAAACAGGTTTGAATTTTTTTTTTCCCTTTGTAAGTTGCTATAATGTAATCTTAATCATAATTTATGTTTGGGCGTGTGAAATTTTTTGGTTCATATATAACTCAACTTCAAGGAAGACTAACCCTGAAATGCCTAGATGAGTAATTCTTGAACTGATATGATTGCTGCTATAAAAACTACTCTCATCTTCCTTTCGTTTCTGCTTCCTGTTATTGTTTTTTCCTTATTATTTTGTAGTTGGGTTGTGGAATTGATGGTCTCTGAGTTGAGGAGCATGCTTTTTGCAGGGTTTCAGATCAGTTGCCTTCTGCTTCTCAGAGTTTCAATACCTATTTCTAATTTTTAGGTGTCCATGTTTTCTAAGAACTTTTTATTTGCTAGAGCAATGGGCTGCTGTGGTTGTTTTGGATTTGGCAGAAGGCCACAGTTATCCAGCCACACTTCTCAGATGGATTCCCGGGATTATTTGTTAGATGAGGAAATTGAAGATGAGGATGATTTTTCGTATAATGGTGAAGTCACCAACACCGCTCATGGAGATGATAGTGAGTTCCAAAGCCACGCCAAGCATCCAGAAGAAATTTTGAAGTTCAGAGAGCAAAATGGCTTAATTTGCAGGAAATATCCAGTCAAGGAAACCAATACACTTATCCGCGCAGAGGCAAGCATAGAATTAAAATGGTTATTGTCGCAAAAACATCTGATGGCCTGATTAGATGTTTATGATGCGTCTGATCTATTTGTGACAACTTTTGAGAGCCTTGGCATTGATTTACATACAAGACATTGGCTGTGACTTCATGATCAAAAGTTTTCATATTAACTTACTCAATTTGGCAGTGTTTCACTCTATGTCAATTTCTGGATTTTAGCATTGTTATGTAACCAGAGAATAACTTTTAGATGTGTTTTTCCAAATCGGAAGGATTAGAAATATCTTGTAGAAAAAGTATAACTGTTCTTTGACTTTTTGTCAATTGGACTTTTTTTTAATTATTTCCGGAAAATAGGAAATGTTTCTCAAAAAGTAGAAGAATTTATTCCAAGGAAACAAACTTTTGCTTTTCCTTTTTTCTATAATCCATCTTTGGAAAATGAATCTTGCGGTGGACTCTTGATCTTAGTGGGGAACATTTGCATGTTATGCTCTGTCATCTAGTGTTGTTTTGCAGACATGTTGCATGTATGAGATTTATTCATGTTCAAGAAAACTTTACATGTGGATAGCATGCTATCCCTAGGCACGCAGTTTCTAATAGCAGTAAACAATTGCTTTTTCTAATTCTTAATGGTTTTTTCAGGATGAGAATGGGAATAAGATGATCAACCAGTATGTTCGTGAATATAAGATCGGTTCTGGTAGCTATGGCAAAGTGGTGAGCGTGGTGGTATTATGGAAAGTACTTGCCTAAACAGATGGAATATTTCAGTAATTTGTCTGTCTTTATGAACAGGTTTTATATCGAAGCAATGTAGATGGGAAGCATTATGCAATTAAGGTATGTTTCTTGTTTCATTTTGGAAGTATCCATTTGGGAAAAAATTAATACTACAACTAAGGACTGATTGATTCCACTTTCTTGAGATTAGAATTGAGTAGTTGTTTGGGTGGGAGAAAATTTTTGCTAGTCCTATAGTTTTCTGTTATATTTGAAGTTTAATGGACCTGCTTTAGATTTATTTTTGTGGTAATATGGAAATGAATCTTTCAACTTAGCGCAAAAGGATAGTTGAATGATGCAATATTTGGTACTTTATCAGCTACTTAATGGTTTTCTATGGATGGGATAGAAGATTTTTTATTTTTAATATGTATTTTAATTGCAGGCCTTTCATAAGTCGCATTTACTAAAACTACGGGTTGCACCTTCAGAGACAGCTATGACTGATGTTTTAAGAGAGGTACCTACCATATGCTTTCTGCTTTGCAGCTTCCTTTCTAACTAGCATCATTTTCCTTTTCTGGTTAGCAAATGTACTATAATGCTCATCATCTGTTTAATTTTCCAGCTTCTTCCAAACGACTGCAGCATATCTGTATTATACTGTAATTATACAGGGAATACTGCAATGTAATGCTTACTTCTTGTAGTTGCACTATCTTTTGGCCTGTGCCTTTGTCCTACCAATTTTTTGAACTCTTTCTTTTTTCAAGAACCAATATTTTTTGACGTTTCTAGTGCTGTGCTGCCTGCAGTTTCCGGCTTTCTGTTCTTGATGCTTCCATGTGTCACCATGGTCCTTGGTCCAGTAGTTTATACGATATTTTATTGGTAGAGCCAAAAACTTAGTTTACAGTTCAATAAGAGCTTAATGTAATTCTACCCAAAAATTGAGTTAAATATGAGCTAGCTTATTTAATAGTTATGGTAACTGGTAACCTGTGGAACATGCTTTAGGTTCTGTTTTGTAGATTATGTTTCTCCTTGCCAAGCCGCACAATGATTTATACTTTTGCCTTGCAGGTTATGATTATGAAATTGTTGGATCATCCAAATATTGTTAACCTCATTGAGGTGATTGATGACCCCAAGACTGATCATTTCTACATGGGTATTATTTCCTTCTCGTTCAGTCAAAATATTTTACTCTATCTTCACTGCTTTAATATGTTGGTTCTAATTCTTTCTGTTTCTTCAGTACTTGAATATGTGGAAGGCAAATGGGTTTGTGAGGGTTCTGATCCAACAGGTGGTATTGGAGAAAGTACTGCTAGGAAGTACTTGCGAGATATAGTATCTGGGCTAATGTACCTCCATGCTCATGTATGACCTTGAAAGCCTGCATTTTGGCTTCATTTCGTTATCCTTCCTGTGTTCATTTTCTGATATTGGTATTAAACATTATATTTAGTTGTTATACTTCTATTTTAGCTTCTATAAAGAAAAAGAAAGTTGTATCTGGTTTCTAGCTATCTATAAGTTCAGTGTCATACAGATTTTTACCACTTGTCCCCTTAAGGTTTGGTCTTGAATTCAAAAGATGTGGCCTTTTTAATATAAAACACACATGTCTATGTTAGAACTTTTTCTTTTTGTCCGCTGCAGCAGTTGTGCATATGCTCAATCTCCTGAGTATTGCGACTTAAAATATTAATTGTGCATATGCTCAATCTACTGACTATTGCTACTAAAAGTATTAATATGGCGAGGTAACTACACTTAGTTTTACCTGCCTTGTTTATTTGCTAGGTTTTGTTTGTCTTCTCAACTATGGTTCCTAACCCATTTTAGTATCTTCCCCTCCCCATATTTTTTTCCCCTGAATCCTGACCAGAAAAGGAAAACAATGCTGATACTTATGTATTTTCCTCTTTATCTAAATTTCCTCCATTCTCTATTAGATATCATCATTGTTACCATATTCGCTTACCATGCTTTTTTTGGAAAAACAGAATATAGTACATGGGGATATAAAACCTGATAACCTGCTGGTTACTAGTACTGGTACAGTGAAGATAGGAGATTTCAGTGTCAGCCAAGTATTTGAGGTAATGAAAACTGTCACTCTTTGATATAGTCCAATTTCCTGAATGGGAAAGGACCTTTGAGAATTGTCAAATTTAGTGACAATGCAATGCTTCTTCCTTAGTTTTGTTTATGGCTCATGTTAATTACTTGAATTTTGAAAAGACTGTTCTAAAATACTGAGTTGATGGTTACTGTTTGAAGTTTTTAAGTAACTGCTAACTTTTGAATGATGATCTGCATCCATCTTTTAACAATTATTTCAGTGTGTCATATCTTATCTCAAACAGCTGGATTTTGCAGTGTTTATTCTAGGAACTTACTTGGTTGATCGTTGTAACCTAAGCTTGCTTGGGGTTTTTAGCAACGTTGAACCCAATATATAGCTTATTGGTATTTTGTTCCATAGATTCAGCCTAGCTTAGCACTAATGTTTTGCTCCTTAGATGGTTGAAATTCAGGTTGACAAAATTTGTTTTTGTTTGCTACTTTGAGTTGTGAACCAACTATTGCAGTTTAATATTCATCTCTTTCCTAACTTCTGTAACTGTAACTCTGTAGGATGATAATGACGAACTTCGCAGATCTCCTGGGACCCCTGTTTTCACAGCACCTGAATGTTGTCTAGGTGAAATTTCTTTTTCAAGCTTTTGACTTGGTAATTTAAAAATGAATGAAGAAAATTGCTATACTCAAGAGTTACCAATATCTTCCCAATCATCAGGTCTAACCTATCACGGCAGAGCTGCAGATACATGGGCAGTAGGAGTTACTTTGTACCATATGATACTGGGACACTATCCATTTCTGGGGGAAACACTGCAGGATACGTATGACAAGGTGTGCAATTGTTTGTTGTTTTACGTCCTACTATAGTATCACTAATTTTGGCTCGAGATATCTAAAACAAAATTCTTTTGCCCTCACCCTGCAGATTGTAAATAACCCTTTAATGCTTCCGGATGATCTGAACCCACAGCTGAGAAACTTAATAGAAGGGCTTCTTTGCAAAGGTGAGTAAATTCCTCTTCTGATCAGAATTTTATTTCCATGGGAGATAGACTTTCTATAAATTCATTGTGTTTTGCGATTAAAACAAAGTAGAGACACCAATAGGATGTCACTCAATAACAAAAGATTTGCAAACGAGCAGAAACCAAAATGTCTACCATTGGAACATCGTAAACAAAATATTTGGGCTGTGGAATCAGTAATCTAATCTTGTCAAAAGGAGAGTAACTGCCCTGAAAAACTTTGCTGTTTCTTTCCTTCAAATACCCAAAAGAATAGACACAGTAGTGAAAGTAAAGAATTTTCGTAGATCTACATGTTTTAATACCCTACCAAGCTCAAAGTTCACTGGAAATTGAACCTAAGCAACTCAAGGCAATTAAGAAGAGCTCAAAAGTAGATGATTGAGGAATTTTTTGCGCACAAAGTCATAGAGAGCACCAAATAAATTCATTGTTTCTAGTTCCCAAAAAATGTTCTACCATTACTTTGTAGTCCTTACTATCTGCAGTCACATATTTAATTTTTACAAGGTAGTTTTTATGTTCATAATGTAACTAAATGTTCTCCAGACCCAAAAGGAAGGATGACTCTAAATGATGTAGCTGAACATAATTGGGTTATTGGAGAAGTCGGTCCCATCCCCCAGTACTTGTGTTGGTGCAAGCAGAACAAATTGCAGAAGGAAGAAATGAATGGAGTGATAACTAACATAACCTTTACTGACTAAATTGATAAATTAGTTCAGATTTCTTTTATGTACAGTATGAAAGCCAGGTATGCCTGATACAAAGGCTTGCTGAGAGAAATTTACTTGAATTCATGAGATATGAAAACCTTCTTTTTGTGTGTTTGTGGAAGAAGGGAAAAATATGTGAAATCTATAGGTTTTCTACTAAAATTGGCGAGAGAAAAAGAAAGCTTGGTGTGTGTGTGTGTGAATGTTCAGGGTTTCTACTTTTTTCTTTTCCTAACAGTCGAAACGTAACATAAGCTGAAATTTTGAACGAGGAATTTGAATGAGAAGCTTGGTCATGAGCTCTTCTGATTATCGATAGATTCATTTGATAGATGCCAGATGTTGTATTGTATGTCTAGGCAGGTAAAGACTTGCTCTATCAGTAAGAATGCCAAAACTTATGTAAAGCTCAAGACAATTTGCTGAATGATGATGTTGAATTGGTAAACCAGACTTTTTTTTTTTTTTTTTTGTTCTTTTGAGATAAGTGAACTCTGGAAAGGTTAATTATCATTAATTAACCAAATCCAGATAGATATGGCAAAGAAAGATGAAGAAGAGGAAAAGGTAAGAGAAGAATGAGAAAAAAAGAACAATCTCCTTCATCTCTCCTCTGTTTCCATTCTTCAAGAACCCATCAAAGATTACAAATTTTTTTTTTTTTAATCCCCCGGTCTTCAATTCGAATTCGAAAACAAAAACTGCGACAAATTAAGAGTTTCACAATTTTTTTATACGTAATTGTTGAATTACATATAAAAGCTGAATTCATATACTATTAATAACTCGAAATTAAATTTGTGAATATTAATTGACTCGAAAATTTACAAAAGTCAACAGTACTTGGGTCCGGGATGTTGAAGAAGTTCGCGATGTCTATCTGTATGGGTTTCTACCGTAGAAGAGAGAAGCAACTGGGTAAGAAAGGGTTGTGTTTGGCAAGTCAGAAAGTGGAGAAAGAAGTTGAAGGAAAAAAGGTGACAGACAAGTTAGATTTTTCTTTTTCTTTTGTTTGTTTTTTTATTTTTGAAAATTATTTAATAATTAAAAATATTTTTTTTAAAAAAAAAAAAAAAAAAAAGAGAGGGACGTAGTAAGGTGTAAATTAGGAGGGTTGAGAGATTGACAAATGGCCCAATCAAAACTGTTGATTCCTCACATGGCTCTAAGCAGACTCACAAGAAAGTATAGATTCTCTTCCATCTTTTTCGTGTTTTATATTTTATTTTAATATAATAATAATAATTAATTAATTGATTAATTAATTAATATTTTATAAAATAAGCACCTTAATTTTATTTATTTATTTATAATATTAAAAATGTAAAAGTGGGTAGGGAATTCTGTAAATGCTAATTTTTTAAATTAACTAAAACCTTGAAATTAGGCTTTTTACTCATTTGTTGTCTGATATTCTCGTGACACGTGGATATGCTTAGATGGCATCATAATCAGATCAGACAATAAAGCTGTCTGTTAATTTATTTTTATGAGGTTGGTGGATGTCAATTAATTTAATATTAATTAATTTATTGTGGTGAAAATTACACAAAAAAAATATAATATTTTATGAATTCTTATATTCGTTAAAAGATTTTATAAAATTAATATATTGATTATTAGATATATAAACTTTAAAATAATTAAAAGTAATGTATATCGATATATATATATATATAATTTTCCCTTATTCAAACGGATAAAATTAAAAATTGCGATTAAAATATGAAAGAAAAAAATTATTATATTTATTTAATAATTACTTGAGAGTTTATTGGTGGGTATATATAATATTATTATTAGTGGGTTTTTTTTTTTTGTTATTGTTGTCGATTATTTTTATTATTACTAGTGGAATTGATCATTATATAGTTGTCACTAACTATTTTGTTATTATAAATAATTAATAATTAATAAATATGATAGAAAGTTAAAATTGAATATAAAAATAAAATCTATTAAGTTAGTATATAAATTAATAAAATTTAATATAAAATAATAGTAAAAATCTTCAAATTTCATAATTAAAAAAAAAATACTAATGATGGAAAAAAAATTTGTAACTTATAATAATTACCTCCAATTAAAAAGTAAAAAGTAGGGTATAAAATTTGATTTCTCTTTAAACATTTTGCTCTAGTTCCAAGGTAAATTCAGGGGAGTCCATGATGACATTTCATTGATTATAAATTAAATTTTCAAATTTCAAAATTAAAAAAAAAAAAATTCTCTTCTTTTTTTGGGGACAGAGTGAATCTCATCATGCACCCCACTTCTATATTTTAATTTTTAATTGTAATTGGGGTAATAAAACACTAATATACATGTTGTATAAAAAAATTTAATTTCAATTATATTTAATTTCGCTTTGATTTTTTTTTTTTATATATATAGTTAAGTGGATAAGAGTTATAGGTTAAAAAAATTAAATAAAAATTTATTTTTATTGAATTTATGAACTTTTTTATTAATAATTTTATTTATATATTCTAAAATTTGATAAAATAATTTTAAAAAATATATAAATGTAATTTTTTTATAAAAAAAAATTATTTTTAGTATTTTGGTAAGAGAAACATGAAAGATAGACATAGATTCTTTTATATGGTTTTTAAGTTAAATGTATATAAACCTATAAGTTAAAATGAAATAGTAGGAATTATGGGGAGAATATAAAAATATAACAAGTAATTATGAAGGGAGATATTTTTCTTTATTTAATTTTGCCCTTTTTTTTCACATGAAATGAGTGATTGTTGAAATTATGCAATGCATGTTGATGACACTTTAAAAAATATATATATATATATATATATATATTCATCGTAAA